CCCCAAAACCCCAAAACCCCAAAACCCCAAAACCCCTTAATTTGATTACCTTATTGAATATCTAAACTTTGTGTGTTTTTATTTTCATCAGCAGTTCTGCTTTCTGTTTGAATAACTTGTTATATTTCTTTTCCCAACTGTTAATATCTGCTTGAAGAGATTTGATCTCCTCTCTAGCAGAGGTAAGCTCGTCGATCTTCACCTCTAACTTCACTGAAAGATTCTCTGCTTCTTCTTTAGAGTGTTCCTTCTGGTAGTATAATTTATGATTCTCTTTGCTCAGTTTTCCAACTATAGATCAAATAAAGAAGTACTTTGCTCAGTCAGCTCAAGATATCTAGTCTGTATGCCCTTATGATTAAGTGTCTTCATAGAGTCAAACTCTGATTGGTACTGGTTCCATTGAAACTCTTTAATGTTCAGCTGTGACTTAAGATCTTGTACCTGAATTCTACACTCTCTTTCAACTTCACGGGTTTTCTTGACTACTTTTGAGAGACTGATGAGGGATTCCTCGATAATTTGGAAATACGGGATATCATCATCAATTTTCACACTCATATTATCTATATTGATTAAAAGGGATGAATACTATCATTTGTTTTCATCTGTTCGAACAAGATTTCAGGGATTTCAAATCCTTTGCAGTAAACACTCTTCTTCAGAACTCGACAGATAATATCAATGTAGTATTTAATGCTTTCGCTTTCAGTGCTGATTCTTTCTAGTGCTGTAAATCATTTCTTTCTACAGAATCAGATAAAGATTACATCGATAAGAAGCTAGGCTTCTCTGCAGTTTGATGGGCACTCACTCCTTCTAAACTGGTTAAGTACTTCAAGGTATACCAAGTATTTTAATCAAGTCTTGCTGTAATACCAGAGTATCTTCAAATTCTAGAAATTTAAAACCTGTTTTACCAAGGTTGCTATTCTTCTTTGTCTTCATGCTGAATTGGGTGGAGAACCTTCTCTTTGAATGAGGTAAAATATCTGTCATCTTCTTGAGATCATGTGATCTTTCATGTTGGAATGGCACAGATGCCGATTTGTTAGACTTCTGCATCACTAGAGTCATCTTCAAGTCTTGAAGGCTGTCACCTTTAAATTCTATTTTATTCATATTCTGCAAAAAGTTCATATTTCTACTATTAGTCTTAGAACTGGATTCACTATTATTGCTATCAAAGCTATCTGTTTCTGAGCTATTTTCATGCCTTTAAGACCTTAATCTTGGCTTTTGTGGGACTTCCTTTACTGCTTGATTCCTTACTACTGGATGTTTCCCTAAATTAGAATTTAATTAGAAATATTCTGAATAAATTTTAACCAAGAAAGCCTGACTTATTTGTTTAAATTCAGCAGCCAGAAGTATGATTGAGAGTAAGGTGGCTTTGAAATTTGTCTTAAATAAATTTTCCAACCCTGGGAGAGATCAGAAAGAAGTCTTACTTTTCAGCAATCATTTCTATAACTTCTTCTGGTTCTGATGTGCTTCAACCCTAAGGATCAGTATTAGTCTTACAAGTTATGTACTCTTTCCTTGGATTCTCTCAATGAATGGAATACTTTACCATGTAAGTGGCTGAGAATTTCATCTACTCGGTTATTTCTCAAATTACTCTCTATTTGGTTAACTTTTCCTTTAAAAAGATCTTTGAACAAGTTCTTCCTGCTAAACTTGTCATTGATCTTTGAGTCAAGATAAGTTTTCAACCCCTAAAGCATCAGTCTTGATTGATACCTTGCTGAGTAAGTGGTCAGATTCCCACCCATTGAACTTGAAATCAGTATTATAAGACTTCCTAGCTGAGTTGTGCTTATTTAGCTAAAATATATTTGAAAATTACTCCAATGATCTTCTCTATTTTGTACCCATTTTGATGCTGCTTCATAAATCTTAGGTCTGTGTGTAGACTCTGATGGCTTATTACACAAAATTACCTTGAGATCTATTCCGTTTCTTGGTTCTGACAATTTTATTTGGAGTATTAAAATCTAAAGCTCAAATAAGACGAAGCCTGGTTGTAAAGCATACTAACTGAATTGAAATCCATAATTTTGTATTTCATTTGAGCAGGCTTGTTGCTTCTTCTCCTTGCTTTGAGCTCCTTTATCGTTTCTATATCATAAAAAATCAAACAGAATTGTTAATGGGTTGGAAGTCTCAGATCCTAGCACATTATTAACACCCAAAAATTCTTTTTATCACATAGAATTTTCAATAACAACATCAGGGTACATACTAAGAGTTTTATTGATTTTATTTGGGTTCTCCATTGCTTTATAATTAACTATCAATAACTCTTGTTATTATTGGGGTTTTGGGGTTTTGGGGTTTTGGGGTTTTGGGGTTTTGGGGTTTTGGGGTTTTGGG